TTTAACCATATAATGCCTTTCACATAAATTATATTGTGACGATAATCTCTTTCAAGAGAGATTGAGCCTGCTCTTCCCTCCAAAGTACGCAAAAACAACAGATAATATAGAAGATATATCCAGCAAGTATCTCCAAAACGTTTTGCCCAGAGAGCAAAACGTATCCAGCACACCGGTGCACCTGCTCGCCGCCACCACCACCGTAAACCGGCAAACTGCTTGTCCATTGCCTGCCTGTCGCTGATTGGCTGGTGTCCCGTCGCACCTGCCTTCCACCCTCCGCCACTAGTTGATGTCTGGGCTGCAGCGACCCAGAGAAGGCAGAATATTCCAGTGCTCCTTGCAGGTGACTTCTCTCATTGGTAGACTAAGTCTTGGCTTACGTGTACTAAGGGAGGTGGCAGCTCGAAGCCAATATTCCGGCATCATCATTCTTATTTACTTTGCTATTACTCACTTGTCTTAACGTAACTTTTCATTTGCCAGTGATTATTCTTATTATTTTGTTTGTTGACTTGTCTGTTATATTTTATACTCAATTTTATTCATGTCTTGCTTTTCTAACGTAATTAAAATTTCATTGTTAAATTTACTTGTGTTTTGTGTGTCTTCCCATTACCTTACCACAGACGAAAGTTCCAGCTTTTTCTCTTTTTTTTCCTTTATGTGACGAGGCCCTGCCCCTAGCTTTTGAAACAGCCGAACACCAACGCTTTACCGTCACAATATATATATTACTTGAAATGTAGTCACGGTAATGTCTACATCTCTGCCTTTCTTCTGACATATAAATCTTGAAGGTTAATTAGCATATATATGCATGTTAATTAGACAATTGATTTGCTGGTGTGTAGCTCTCCACACACCCAGAGCGGGTCCATGTATTTACCAAAAGCTATCCATAGGTACCCAGTACTACCCTGGCCTTCTAGCATTACACAAGTAATGAAGATATATGACATATTTACCCCCCTATAATGATGTTATTGAATGTATTATTAATATGAATGCATGTTAATTACACAATTGATTGGTTAATGTGTACGGCTCATGCACACACCCAGAGCAAGTCTATGTATTTACCCAAAGCCACCCATAGCTACCTAATCATACCCCAAAATTTCCTTGCTTTATATAAATAATGAAGAAATACAACATATTTATCTATTATAATGACGGTATGTAATGTAGAATTTGGAAAAACATGGTTTTACTCTGAACTAATCTCTGGATACGTAAATAAGTACATAGTACTTCAAATAGCGAACGCATACCTGTAATGTAAGCTGTAATCATCATCAGTATTTATATTATCAAAACTATTGTCCCATGGAGTTAATTTCACTTCCAGACACCTATTTTTTAATACAACTTCAATGTTTTCTGGCTATTTATGCTAAATATTATTGTAACTATGCATTATTGTAGTTTATATCATTATTTTAATTTGTGACAATTTGAGCAGAGAAGTGCGACGTGTGCACAAGAGGCTGATATGCCAGCAAACACTCTCTAGGCAACAATCTGTCTTGGATAAGTCGCTCCACAACATTTACGCATGGATCGTCGACTTGATTTGGCGTCACCAGATCGCCAAATTTCTTTATAAAAAGATACTTTTTCAGATTAAAATTATGTTTTTTTCGTGTTGTACATTCAGCACAGACATTATAATGAGTAAATATATCATATTTATTCATTACTAACATATTGCTAGGAAGCTTTGTGAAGCTCGTGTAGCTTGTGGTAGCTTGCGATAATTAGACGGACCCGTTATGCTGCAGGCGAAGCCCCACACCAGAGTAAGCCTGATCTCTTTATTACACAATCCCCATTTATTACATGTCACACCTGTACTTTATATGTTAATGAGCAATTCTTACAGCCTGAACTTTTGGCAGGTAAGCTTGTGATCCATGGACATCAATGAGCTGGCCCACCTATAACCTGTGACTTCCTTGCTTTGACTACCCCAGCAGCTGCCTCACAGTGCCAGCTGCCATTACATGGCACACCTAGACCATAAATGCCACACCCTAACAGATGTTGGAAATGCTTAATCAGACCATATCAACCCAACAGATGAGAACCCATAACTTTCACTAACCCAGTAGATTGTAATATATTAACCTCATACTGTAGTCTAATTACCAACATATGTGGTATAATTTATATGAAGCAAACTGTAAATGTTTATAGCTTATTGTATCACCACCAATTGTGGGATAGGTTGTCCACATTTACCACCACCTATGTGCAGGTAAAAACTGGCAGGCTGAATTTAAAATACAGTCCACTTAGAATCATAATTCAATATTGAAGTAAACTAAAAACAAAATAAATATTCACTAATTAAAAAGCACATACTGCCTGCTAGTATTACCCCACACGTCTGATTTAGGTGGGTAATCATTAAAAGGTTTTTGTGGTTAGTTTCATAGTGGCACTTCACGTTACTGGCTTTGTAATGACCGAGTTGTACTTGGCAGATAAGGCACAAAGACTTACCTTCTTAAACTGTAAATGCAAACTCTGGTTGAAAATTTATGTTTTCATCTTCATATTTTCGTTTCTTACAATTTGTTGAAGTCATCTTCTTTTACAATTTTCACAAACACTTTTAAAAGGTATATATATAAAGTATGTCTGCACAGTTCAACATCTGCACTTATACTGAATTCCTTTCTGTAGGTATCAGAACTCTTTATATAGCCACACATTTCATGCTCTGAATTTGGGGTCAAAATTTCTGAAATGCTGTATTCAAATTCTCTAGACTTTTTCATGAGCCGCATATTAAAGGTCAAAGAGCCACAGTTTGGCCACCACTTGTCTATATGAACTATCTATCAAAAGAAATACAAAATTATGCAAACATTTTTTTCTGATGATGTCAAGCTACTAAGGAAATAAAAGTAGATAAAAGTAACTCGGACAATTGTCAGGCCTTTCAAGAAGACCTGGACAAAATAAGTGTACGAGCACTACTTGGAAAATGGTATTTAATCTGAACAGATGAAATGTTACTGAATGTGACATAATAAGAGAATAGACCACACAACCTACAAATTATGTGGAAAAAGCTTTAAAAAATTATGATAACGGAAGAGATCTAGAAGTGAAAAACTGTCACCTGACGACCACATGAAGAACATTGTCAACAGGAGCCTACCTGTTGAAGATTCTGGGGGTTTAATGTTCCCTTGTTACTCTTTCCAATTTCAGAATTGCTTTTAAATGCATTGATGGTGAAACAATAAAGAAATTGTTCATGACATTTTTGAGACTAAAGTTGGAATATGCAGCAGTTGTATAGTGCCAATATCTAAAGAATTACATCAACAAATTAGAAAAGGTGCAAAAATATGCAATAAATAAATATGCAATAAATATGGATGGAGGCAATAAATATGCTAAAGCTAAAAGATAAGAAAAAAAGAGGCGATATGATCACTACGTAGAAAATTGTAACGGAAATTGACAAAATTGATAAGGAAGAATTCTTGAGACCTGGAATTTCAAGAACAACAGGTCATATACAGTACTTAAGCTAACTAGAGAATTCTGCCAAAGAAAATAAGAAAATTCGTGTTTGCAAAGCGGTAAATGGTTGGAACAAGTCAAATGAAAATGTTACGGACCCGAGCCCAGCGTCGTAGCACGGAGCTGTGACGACCACGCCATCTGCCAGTCTGCTCCCGAAACCCCCTCCAAATGGACGACGCCATCTAGTAAGGACAGGATATACCGGCCACAGGGGCCGGTTTCCCGTCTTAATCAGCTCGTAACGTAGCCGCTGCTGACCTCTGGTGAGGTGGCGCTTAGACAGCAACGCCATATATGGAGTGGATAGGTGGACGTTTGTGTCTAAGCCTGTAAGTGAGGTGCCCTAGAGTGTCCCCAACACTAATGACGTGTCTGATTACAGAGTCGACCTGGGACTGCTGTATTCGACGATGGGGCAGTCTACCCAAGGCAGCCATAGTCTCTCCACGTGTTTGCTGCAGAAGCTGTTAGTCACCCCCAGACGAACAATGTTGAGTGTGTTAGCCTGCCTGTGACGTGGCAGTACCAGGAATCATCTTATCTGGGGGCTAGCTGGTGGAAGAGACTAGCCACTGTGGTGCGAAGAGAGGAGAGTGATCTGCGGAATCACACAAGGTTCCTGCCTAGGGCTCGCAACCCTAGCATCGATCGTGGAGTGGCCTACACAGCAGAGCTGATTGGAATCTGCCAGCTACAGGCTGGATTTGTGGTTGAAGGCCTCCACGACGGTCCACCCAGAGGGACTGTGATTTGGCTGGCCTGTGGCCGGGGTAGATTCGCCGAAAGAATCAGAGGATTCATCGTGGGCCACGACGAAGAGAACCAGGGCTACTCATCGTGAGCACCATGGAGCATCCCGTGTCTTCAGAGGAAGACGATTCTGTACATTGTGTAATTATACCCCCCCCCCCCCCGTGTGACAGTTTATATATTTATTTATGGTGGTGGTGATTATATATATATATCTGAGCATTTGTATCCCTTCCCCCTTTAATTTACTTGCGTTACGGAACACACCCCTTGAAAGCCACTACTAACTTGGGGCCGGATACCCAAACTCTAATAACATCAGAGGAGAACCCAGTTGCGACCCAATAGGGCCGTAACAGTTGTAGAAGCCAAAACCATCAGTAGTTTCTAAGTGTTATAAGACAGAGTGCTGGGAAGACTGGACACCACGAGTGTAGCTCTCATCCTGCCACTACACTTAAGTAATTACTGTACAAGAATCTAGAGATAGAAGATGAAAAGCCCATTCCTCTTTGTTTTACATTATATGTAAAATCTAGCAAAAACAATCCTTACTGTAAAGAATACCTGATAAATTCACATCCATATCTCAAATATATCACAGAATTAGCTAGCTGTCCTGACTAGAGCATCCACTTTCGCCTCTGATCATGTTTGACCTTGAGAGAGATCGCATCATAAGAGGTTAGAAAACAAACAAACAGTGCAGAAAATTTTACATTTCAATAGATAATTATTCAGTAAAATAGTAGTAGTGTTATAATAAAGGCAAGATATTAGCTTGTGGCTTTAGTGAAAGGCTTCCACTAGTATACTGGCCTCTAGGGTCTTTTGTACACTAGCTTCATATACACTATAGAACAAGCTAAAACACAAATTTTTTATTTTTATTTTAGAAAAGTCAAGCAATATTGGAATAGTAAGTTCCTCATATCTTACAATTAAGTCATTTACAAAACTAAATGAAGTTAAAATTTTACTAACTTCATAGTAATATATAAAGGTAATGGTTAACATTATATTTTTACTAAAATAATGAATTATACCTCATATGTTATTTACATTTTGAAATACAGTAAAAGCTCCCTAATTTGGAGTTTTGTAACCAGAATCTCTGGGTAATTCAGCCAAAATTGCGTTAGAGTTTTTCTTAATTTAATACGGGTAAAAATCTGAATTATTGGGCTCTGCTGTCGGGTTAATAGACGACATGTGGCGGCCTTTGTTTATAGCACAATTACATTAAAATGATGTATTAAAACATTATGTATATTATTAAAACAGTACTGTACTGTATATGTAAAATAATAGCAAATATTATTATTTGCTACTTATACTGTGTATAACAAAGTGGCAGTCTGTAACTGAAAGATTTTCTTTCCTAATTTTTTTTTAATTTTATACACACTTAAATCTTTTTTTGCCTAGAACAAGTCTGATGGCAGCAGCTATTAACACGAATATATTAAAAAGAAGCAAGTTAATCTATCAATTACGGATTAACTGAAGAATCATTGAACTTTGCAAAAATGGTTGTGCCAATGTAAGTGTTTCATGAGAATCTGGGATAGGCACAAGCACCGAGTCTGATATTATATAAATAATGGGGAAATACATAAAATACAAGGATTTGTACCATGATTTTATGGTTAGGTTAATGTTCAGAATTCAGTCTTTCAGTGATCAAGACAGCTAGGTGTTAACTCCACCAAGGCAAGATGAAAATCAAATAATTTGAATCTGCTGTAAATATAATTTGGATTAGGGTTAGCCCATGTGGCCCAAATTAGTGAGCTTTGATTGTCATAATCACATTTTTACACACTATATACCAAAATACAGGACACTTAAAAATTTATTGAAAGTGAATGCAAATAAAGAGCACTAGAATATTTGAAAACTATTCACAATATAACTACATTACAAACAAATCACACACTATCAAGTCAGCCACCAAAATAAGCCATTATTCGAACTCTTACAATGAACCATCAGCTTTATCTTAATTGTCATAGCCACTCAACAGTACATTTGTAGTTCAGCTGTAAATTTTCATAAAGTTAGCAAAATTCATAAAATTAAAGTATGTCAAAATACTTTACCCAAACTTATTTACCAATACTTAAACAGTAATGTATATATCTGACTTTACAATTATTGCTTCAGTACATCATAAGAGAAATCTTCACCATGGCTCACAGCAGGCAACTGACTCTGTATTACCCTCATCCCCCACCACCTTTAGGCAACATATCTGACATTTTTGAAACTTCTCCCTTGCCTCGAGGTACAGCCTTGGCAGCATTCTTCACTCTCCTCTTAGTCTCCTGATCTCTGTGATGCTCAATACGGATCCTTTCAGCAATTGCTTTCCGCTCAGCCTATAAATAAAAAATCAGCATTAAATGTAATTTTACACTAATGTCTGGGTAAGCCCCGGTGGCTTCCTGGAGCTAACAGCTCCATTGAGTGTAATGTCCAAAAGTTGCCATCACTCACAGAGTTCTTTGGCCTACCGGAGACCCAGTGCCAGAATCTTCTCATAGATGCACAGGGAGCAATGGCATTTATCTTTTTTATGTCACCACCAGGGAAGGTGCCCAGAAAATCAGCAAGACAAAACAGACCACATCTAGCTACTTCCAATACCTGCAGACTCAAATAACCAGCACTGAATGTAATGAAATGCCAATTTCTGGGTGAGCCCCAGATGCTTCCTGAAGCTATCATCCAATGATAGCTGGGGGAAATTTCACAATAAACTTGGTGCAGCACGGTGGTTAAACATAATACAGGGTACAAAATGCAATCAAATTTGCCCATAGTAGGAAGGCAACATGTAAAGAATTTGGGAATAATGATGTCTGACGACCTAACGTTTAGGGAGCATAACCAAGCAAATATTGCGGCAGCCAGAAAAATGATAGGATGGATTACGAGAACTTTCAAATCCAGAGATCCCATCACAATGGTTGTACTCTTCAAATCACCTGTGCTGTCCCGTCTTAAGTACTGCTCAGTACTCACTTCCCCATTCAGAGCAGGAGAGATTGCTGAAATAGAGGGAGTACAGAGAACATATAATGGATACATAAACGAGATAAAGCATCTAAATTATTGGGATCGTCTCAAAGCTCTTCAAGTGTACTCGCTAGAAAGACGACGGGAGAGATATCAAATAATATACACGTGGAAAAAATACTGGAGAGCCAGGTCCCAAATCTGCACAGTAAAATAACAACGTCCCGAGTGAACGATATGGAAGAAAATGCAGAATAGAACCAGTGAAGAGCAGGGGTGCCATAGGCACAATTAGAGAGAACTGTATAAACATCAGAGGTTCACAGTTGTTCAACATCCTCCCAGCGACTATAAGAAATATTGCTGGAACAACAGTGGACATTTTCAAGAGGAAACTAGATAGTTTCCTCCAAGGAGTGCCGGACCAATCGAGCTGTGGTGGGTATGTGGGCCTCCAGGCCGCTGCAAGCAACAGCCTAGTGGACCAAACTCTCACAAGTCAAGCCTGGCCTCGGGCCAGGCTTGGGAAGTAGAACTCCCAGAACCCCCATCAAGCAGGGTAGGCACCAAGGCACTGAACCCCGAAAAACCTGAAGAGGAAGCCGGTGACCCAGCAGTTGACGCAAGGCCCTTGGGGATCAAACCCAGCAATCGCGAGAGAGGGGGAAGGGATGTCCCCGAAGGTACCAGAACAGCCGACGAAGCCAAACCTGACCCAGCGGGCAGACCATGATCGCAAAGTTCAGGCTCGCGCAAAAACCCTCAAGCAACCGCCAGGTGACCTGGGAGCCCCCCAGAAACAAGCACATGTGGCACTGCAGCTGAAGGAGAGACACTGGAGGGAGAGAAAAGGAACCGGTCCGAGTCCCACACAAGACCCAGTCAGGTCTGAACCTGTGAGGGAACCAGATGGAACTTCCTCCAGTTCACCAGGAACCCAAACCCGGCAAGCTGGAGTAGAGGGAGGAAAAGCAGGAAAGATCATTCGAGAACCCCCCCCCCCCCCGTGTTACAAGGCCAATAAAACTCCACGACTCATGGCACCTAGTAGTATGGCATTGAATCAGTGGGACAGCTTCAGGGAGCCAACAGGGCTCCACCCAGAAAACCACCACTTAGTTGAAGCAGAACATGGGAGCCAAAGCAAATAAGAGGGAACTACTGACCCTGTCTGCCTCCCTCCACCCTCCCCCCTCCACCCCCAAAGGAGGAAAGGGGGAAGAGGGACGAACAAGCTTGCTCTAGTTTGATAAATTTTTTAATGTTTATTTACATTGTTGGGAAAGTGCTTTTGGTGAGTCCAAGTCATCGACATTTACTTATAACCAGCAGTGGTCTGTTTTGCCTCACTGACTTTGTGGGTGCTTCCACAATGTTAGTAGACATGATTAAAATTCAATGACAGTTTTATCATAGTGCCACTGCTCTCTGCACCTCTTTAGAAGTAAGCAGATTCTGGCTCATGGTGCCCAGTAAGCCTAAAAGAACTGTATCAGCATTATAACTTCAGGGAGCCACAAGGGGCTCCTTCCAGAAAACCAGCATTGAATGTAATAAAATGCCTATTTCTGGGTGAGTCCTGGTGGCTTCCTGAAGATGGATCATTGACATGGCTCCCAACTGCTAGACTGCACCAGCACTGGAGTACAGTTCAACCTACTTTGAATTTGATTTGAACTAGGCACCCCCACACAGGGGGAGCTGGGGCTCATGCTGTCCACTGGCTCAAGCAGTCTGTTATGGAGCAGATGCACACATGAAACACCCCAACTGACGACCTAGAAGGGAAGGGGAAGAATCAGGGAGGCATCATGGTTCACCCAGAAATTTGCAGTTTACTACATTCTACACTAGCTTTCTAGGGGGAGCCCCTTACGGTTCCTCTGAAGCTAACTACCCACAGAAGAGAAAAACGGTCTCACCAGAGAGGAAGAGGAACTGCAGGCAGTCAAGACAGCCTAGGAAACACGAGCCTTGGACTAGGTAACCACAGAAACAGGAGTGACCCACATAGCATCCACCAGGGCAGAATTGATGGCATGAAACTAGCGGCAAAGAGCCGCCAACAGGTACAGCACATGATGTACCCCTGGCCTATCCAACCAAGCATTGATAACCAAAGTATTCTTCTGGAATACTTTGCCAACACATCCTTTGCCCAAAAAGGAGGCAGCGGCCGGCAAACAAAATGCCTGCAGCGTGAGATATAGATAAAGATAAAATGCTCACCATTTCCTTCTGTAGAGCCGCCATCTCTTTTTCTTTCTTAGCTAAAGCTTTTCTTCGAAGTTCTTCTTCGAGTTGTTTGGCGGCATTAGGAATTATAACTTTAGTCTCACTTATCCACTCTCTCTCATCTGGCTTTACTTCTCTGAAAAAAAAATTAATGAACAATATAATATACCTTATACACAAAAAAAGCACTGAATGAAATTATATGCCTCAGTATCTTCCTCATACTCATGGCTTTTATAAGTCAGCCCTAGCACCAAGTTTAGGCTGACCTTATGCCTTAACCACTGTGCTGCTCTGGCTCCAAATATGGCAGCCCTCCCCCCCCCCCCCCCCCCCCCCCTCTGTGCACAGGAAATAAATTCTTGGCAAAAATTTGTTTTTGTGTTCCAACAGGCCACGTGTACGCAAATCCTCAGCGACCAATGCAGCCGAAAGGGAAGGAACCTGCACATGAAGCTGCATCACCCCAACATCCTGCGGAAGGACAGGGGCAAACAAGCACAGATTGAGATGCTCAAATTCACTTACCAGGAAACCCTGCAATGCCATCTGAGCCTCCCACCACTCATGTATGCAGGATCGACAGAACCTATGCCATGCCTCCAAAGAGAAGAGAGGCCAGTCTGTTAACCAGGACGACTCCAGAACTGCATAACGAATCCAGTAAGGACACGAAGAACCACACCCGAAGACATAATCCGGGTTGCGCACGAGATAAGCCGCAAGGGCTTCCTGCACCACACTGGACGGGATGCGGGAAGCTGTAAGCCTCCGGAAGGACAGAACCAAAGAACCGCCAGGGTCATGGAACCGAACCCTGGGAGGGATAGACGCCAATCCAAATTGTACAAGGAGGGAGTAAAAGAGAACCCCACTCCTCATAACACCAAGCCCCGCTAAGAGGGTATAAAGTATAAAAACCCAGGCGGGGTCCAACGGGGCCCAAGGGCCACCAAGTCAACCCCTCTCCTGGAACCTCACTCCGAGGACCCGGGATCGAGCCGTCCTCCAAACCCCCCTCCATCTCAAAAGAAAAGGCAGAGGCAGCCGAAAAAGAAGGAATGAAGGGGGGCCCACAGGTCAGACCCAGAAGCTCCGGCTGAAGGACCTGGCTCGAACGCCCCTGATGCCACCCCGGAAAGGAACTCCGCCTGAGTCTTAACACCAACCAGACCCCGGCCTGACTCGGAAACTTTAGGACATTTCGGAGCCGGAAGCAAGGGGGAAAGAACTGGATGAGCAACAGAAGGGAGAAGGACATGGGGGGGGGGTGAATGGACAGCAGCAAAGTCGAAACAACTCCCACCCCCAAGTCTGGAACCCTAAAACCAAAATGGGGCAGTCTTGGGACATCCGGGGAAGCGACCAACCTATCGCATTGCAGCAGCCTGAACCAAGCATGTAACGCAGCTGCTGCCTGCACCCCTCATATCATGATCAGTAGCTTGGGGTGAACTGGAGCACGTACAAACAACAAACTCTGCACGACTCCGGGTCAAAAGAATCACCAACCCTACAGGCAGCATGGTGGAGAAACAACTGGTGATTGTCATCCTGAGACAAGGGGACAGAGCAACCATCAACCTCGCACAAAGCGAAAGGGGACTCAAGGGTCATATCTATCAAACCATGGAGCCCCCACAGGATTTCTCAGGGCCCTTAGCCTTGGTAACATGCTAAGGGAAACCCAGGCAGGGTACTGTGAACTGGCGCCCAAGACTACCAAGCAAACTTCTAAAATCTGAACCCCCGGGACGTGGCCACTGACGGGGGCCTAGCAGGGGATACCACCAAGAACCCAGATCTGTCTATTTAAAGACCCCCAATTATAGATAGGGGACAACCAACCAAAGGAAGACCCCACCACCAAGCAGGAAAACAAAAACAAAAGAAAAACCCAGCAAAAGGACAACGTACCCAGGTGGAACAGAGCAGGCCACTATAAGAGGTGATAACTAGCTGTGCAGTACCCTGCGCCCCTACCAATGACGAAAACTGCCTCCTACCCAGAGGCAAACAATTGCAGCAAAACCCCAGCTGACTCCAAGGGCGACCAAGTACCGAGCAGTAAAAGATACAGGGGAGGTAGATCCCAAGGCGACTTGTGTAAGGTGACCCCAAGCCCCAAGGGCAGTACTTACTAGGCACCCAGGGAAGGAAACCCTAGGCGCATGCAGCCAGAGTACCGTAGAATATCACTCCTGGCACACACACACCTGTAGAGATAGACCATGCCACGATGTACAGAAACTGAAACCAGAGGCACATGACCTGCAAGTATCACATCAGCCAAGAACTGATGGTTGGATTGCCAGCGCGATGGTCTGGGGCTCCTCCTTCCCCCTTCCGGCAAGGGGAGGAGGTTGCGCAGACAGCGGTGCAGCAAGGTGATAACGTCATGCTCGTTTGCTAATTTTCGTTTGTCCACTCATTCGGCTTTCGGTAGCAATATTTTCACCAAAATAGGGGGTTTGTTTTGGGGCGCCTACCTTTCTGGGTGCCAAACTCAGTCAATGGCAGACACAGAATGCTCCCAACCACACGGGGATTTCTATAGGCCATTGCTCCTCATGCCTCTCTGAGGGGTCAGGCTCTGGCTCGTGGTCCCTGGTAGGCAAGAACTCCATGAACTTTGACTGATGCCAGAAAGCTAATAATGCAATATCAGCCTGGATAGCTCCGGGGAGCCAACAGGGCTTCCCCCCCCCCCCCCCCCAGAAAATATCTGCAAGAGCTGCAGGAGAACAGTTTGCTACTCAAGGCCCTGCTTCTCATAAAGCACCTAAATTATTGGGATCGTCTCAAAGCTCTCTAATGTACTCACTAGAAAGGAGACGTGATAGATATCAAATAATATACACGTGGAAAATACTGGAGGGCCAGGTCCCAAACCTACACAGTAAAATAAGAACGTACTGGAGTGAGCGATATGGAAGAAAATGCAGAATAGAACCAGTGAAGAGCAGGGGTGCCATAGGCACAATCAGAAAACACCGTATAAATATCAGAGGTCCACGGTTGTTCAACATCCTCCCAGCAAGCATCGAAATATTGCCGGAACAACTGTGGACATCATCAAGCGAAAACTAGATCATTTTCTCCAAGGAGTGCCGGACTGGGCTGTGGTGGATATGTGGGCCTGAGGGCCGCTCCAAGCAACAGCCTAGTGGACCAAACTCTCAAGTTAAGTTTGGCTTTAGGCGGGTCTTGGGGGAGTAGAAGAACTTCCAGATCCCCATTAAGCAGATATCAAGCAGATCACACAGATATCCTCGACAATGCTCCTGCTCATCCTCCAGGCTTGGAGGATTCATTGTTGGAGGAATTTAGTTTTGTTACAGTAAAGTTCCTTCCTCCCAACACCACTCCTCTCATTCAAAACAGGTAGGTAGGTATCCATATCTTAAGAATTACATAAAAAAACTGGAAAAGATGCTAAGACATGCAATTAAACGGCTTCTGGAACAGAAAGATAAAAGCTACAAGATGTTAGAGGCATAAAATATACTAAAGCTAGAAGATAAAAGGAAAAAAGAGACAACATGACCACTACGTACAAAATAGTATCAGGAAAACAACAACATTAATAAGGAAGAGTTCTTGAGACCTGGAACTTCAAGAACAAAAGGTCATAGATTTAAGCTAACTAAATAAAGCTGCCAAAGAAATATAAGAAAATTCACTCTCACAAATAGAGCAGAAGACGGTTGTAACAAGTTAAGTGAGAAGCCTGTGAAGGTCAAAACTGTCAGTAGTTTCAAAGTATTATATCACAAAGAGTACTGGGAAGACAGGACACCATGAGCATAGAAACACATGTGAAGCTAACACTACAACCAAAATAAACACTAAAGCATCATTGGGCAGAATACTGTAGTAGGGATGGCCAACACTTATCATCGGGTGACCAGGATCCGAATGGTGAAGGCAATATAAAGAGCATGTGTGTATAGGTTCGCACCAGTTGAATGACTGGTGAGCTGATCTCTGTCAGAACAGGAGCTTCTAGGGACTGCCACCTGGCATAGGGAGGGAGTAATTAGTAAGGAAACAACGTAACTTCTGTGTGACATATTAATTAGCAGAGTTGCTCATATTTTCCTTGCTGTTGTTTGTTTTGCTTCTCTCTACCTTTTTGGTGGCCTATTTTCTTGGTTAGGGGTGATCTAACATCCCGTGCACCTTGCTGCTCATTGAAAGGATAGGATTTTGGCCTCTGGTTTCCAGTAGTTTTTATGACTCTTAACAGCCTGGTGAGACAAATATGTGGAGTTATCCAGGTGGTCAGCTGCAGAAACCCTCCTCCCAGAAACCACCTTCAATATGAAAATATATGAACAAATATCACAATATTTCAATTAATGAGTTTCTTTAGATACTTTAAGCATATCTTATTTGTTACCTATTTTCCAGAAGGATGTCAAGCTCTAAAGTCGGGTGGACTTGGGGAGGCAGTTGTACCGTCTCCCCTCTGATCTCCCACCCTGCAGCCACCATCACCAGTCTACCAGCTTCATGCCTCCACACATCACAGTTAAAGGTTTTGTTGGTTATCTTCAGTGTCCTAGTAACAAATATTGCACATAAATGTTTGGTAATTATTATGTGAAGTTTTAAAGATAAAAGTAAAAATTAATGAAATCTAAGTTCTTATAATTCATCAATCAGCAGCATCCTGTAACTGGACAATCTACATAATATTTAACTATCAAAAGGATGCAGAGAATAAGTAACAATAACATGGCTGAAAACACATACCTGTAATCCAACCCACACTTAAGGAACTAGATCGGGTACCTAACTTAGCTCGAGTCTCTCTCACCCCTCTTTCCCTTCCATCATTTCCACTCTCTTATTTATCATTCCTCCCCCCCTCTCCCTCTTCTATCAATTCTATCACACAGCATTGAATGTAATGAAACGTAATTTTCTGGATGAGTCCCCTAAGGCTTCCCGGAGCTATCCAAGCTTATATGATTAGCCCTAACTTTGGCATCAGTCAATGTAGGTGGAGTTCTAGGCCTACCGGGGACCATGAGCCAGAACCTGGCCCCCTCAGAGAGGTACGAGGAGCAATGGCCTATAGAATGCACATATGATTTGGAGCATTCTATATCAGCCATCAACCGGGACAGGCACCCAGAAAGGTAAGAACTGTAAGGTAAAAAGGTAAGAAAAAATCAGAACTGCCCTTAGAAATTTGTGTAAAGAGTCATTTAGAACCTTTTACACCAAATATGCCAGACCAATTCTGAAATATGCAGCACCAGCATGGAGTTGATGCTTAGTCAAGTATAAAACAAAGTTGGAGAAGGTTCAAAGGTATGTCACTAGACTACCATAACTATGAGGTACGAGTTATGAGAAAAGACTATGTGAATTGCCTCTCCCATTGCTGGAGGATACAAGAGTTAGGTGAGACATGATTACCACATATAAAATTATTAGGGAAATTGACGGGGTACATAATGACATTATTTAATATGGGTGGTACTCACACAAGGGGCCACAGGTGGAAACCGAGTACCAAAATGAGCCGCAGAGACATTAGGAAAAAAAATTCAGTATCAATATAGTTAATAAATGGAATGCATTAAGAAGTGATGTGGTAGAGGCAGATTCCATACACAGTTGCATATGTAGATATGACAAGAGCCCAATAGGCTCAGGAACCTGTACCACAGTTGAGAGGTAGGACCAGAGCCAAAACCCAACCTTCACAAGCACAGCTAAATGAGTACGCTGCACAAAAGTGCACATGATCAGCCAAAAAAGGCAAAACTACACTGCTGAAAAATAAGACACTGGCGCCAGAGCGACAGAGAGGACACCTCATATTCACTACCATCAGAATAGAACTGAGTGAGGAGCAGCTGGCTGACCCCTGGCTGCTTCCGTCCCCTCAAACAAGGGGGGGGGGTGAACAAGATGGCACTAGTTTTATGTATTTTCTATCTTTTTATTTACATAGATTAGGGAATTCTTTGGCAGTTTTCAAGGCTGTGGTCTCATTTGAAGTCAGCAGTGGTTTGGTTTGCTTTGCTGACTTTCTGGGTGCCTTCCCTGGTGGTGACAGACATGAATAAATTCATAGTAATTTTACCCTAAGTGCCACAGCTCCTTGAATTTCTTTGAGGGGGGGGGCCAGGTTCTGGTTCATGGTCCCCAGTTGGCCAACAGTATCTACCACCTAGTGGTATGACACTATCAGAGATAGTAGTTTCAGGAAGCCACAAGGGGCTTCCCCCAGAAAAACACATTTTCTATATTTTTTTTCCTCATCCTGCACATCAAGATGAAGCCGGGTGGGAGAGCCTGTAGGTCTGTGTATGCTTAGGTACTCAGTTTGCTGACCAGTCACGTACCAGTGAGTGCAGTGATGTTCACGCTAGATGGATTTTATGTTCACCGTTTCACTTCAATTTAAAATGCAAAATGTTTACCTATATTGCACATATATTTGTTCCCGCACAACTTCAGGGTAATGTCTTCCATCCCACTCCTTTGCTGCTATTATCCGAGATCATCATCCAGAAATAGATTCAAAACACTAGTGGGAAAAGTCCAATTGAATTTTGATAACAGTCGCAGGCCACTAGTAATGTACAGTACAAGATAAGCTCATAAAATAGTAACCAATTAAAAATGATAGCAGAATTTGTTCATGTTCTAGGGTAAGTCCATTACATACAAATAGATCTATTTTAACCAAACTTACATAATTTTTAAAAAGACCAGGTGATATACTAAAATCAACATATGAAAACTGCATTACCCAGGGGAATTAAATGAAAATAACTGCACTTTAACCCTTTAACTGCGCCGCCTCTAAATATGACACCCCCCAGTGCGCAGGAAATAAATTCTCTTGAAAAAATTCTTTTGATTTTTAACCCCTGCACTGCGCACCTGGTTTCGGCAAAAACTTCTTGGGGCAATTGTCAAGGACATACAGTATCCACTCAATTTAACGGCCTCTTTTATACCGATCTGCCAGTATTAATGACCGGTTTGGGAGACCGGTATCTGGAGCCTGCTATACCGGTCTGACGGTCGATATTACCGACGGTCGGTATTGGGTTTGTTGTGGCATCAGCGTCCCCTCACATGGCGACCAGGCCACCGACCTGGATCGTCCAGAGTCATATATTACATCTTAATTTTCTTTTAAAATGATTCACTTTAATGAAGAAAATTGTAAATTATTATTAATAAAATATTTTGAAACAGTTTTTATTAAGCAAAAGTCTTTGTTTTCTTATTAAATACCTTTTATAGTATAGGCACTAGGTATTTTTTTTCCCACGGACCTAGAATGTACTCCGCCGGGCCATGTGTTCCCATTGTTTACTGTGAACTCGTGCGGCTAGCTTCAATTGTGAAGGATATTACTGTACTGTACTGTAATTGTGATCTTTTTAATTTACAAAATGTAAAAAGTTACCCAAAGGAAGCGCCTGACGGTTGCACAGAAGCTGGAGTTAATTAAGAAACTTGATAAAGGATATTCTCATGCACGAGCAGCAGCAGAGTTTAACATCGGGAAAAGTACAGTAAGTGACATCAAGAAACAGAAGGATACTCTATTAAAATATGCCTGAAAATAAGTGTACATACAGTATGTACCCTGTATACAATATAAACAATATAAAACAAGCGCTGCAGAGGATGACGTAATCTTCACAGCTTCGTAATCTTCAGCTTCATTAAAAGTAAGTCAATTTACCAATTTTATTATAGTATTACAAGATATTAATTTTTTTTTTCAACAAAAGCTACATATTAGTCTCTGCAAATGTATATTCTATCGTCAGCAGAGAATAGGTGAGCTCAAAATATTTTGTCTTGGCTAGCTCTCAGTGACAAGGCTCGATCGCCATTGTTATGGCATGGCCGCCACAGCCTGTGTTGTAACATTAAAAATACATTACCTGCACTGTTCAGGGTAAATCAAAACACATCTCTAAAATATTATTGAGAAAATATTAACTTGCTGATTGATACATGAAATATTTTGCAATACAAAGGAATGAATCAATTTTTTCCCACCCATCTGGGCTTGATCAGACCGTGTTCACACATCATCCATGCAGCAGCCAACAACTGGCTTAATCGTCGGTGTGGCACTAAATTGGAATGCAATTACACAATGAACTTTATTTAATTTTAGTTATACAGTATAAAATATATCCTACCTGAATGTTACTTGAAAAATTACCCGACCCGACTTAACTTCGGAAATAACGGAGCTCCGGAAATAACGACCAGGGTACAGCCCCATATAGGCCGTTAAATTGAGTGGATACTGTATTCATGTTATTTTTATAAATATTCAGGTAAATTTAATGTCAAAATGTTTCCAAACTCAACTATTTTCATTTAAAAACACAAAGAGTAATGAAAACATTAAAAAACATTAAAATATAGCCTAATTAAAAAAAAAATAGCATAACTCTCAGAGCGCCTAAAGGCGCTTTGCGCAGTGCAGGGGTTAAAGTGTCAAAAACCCTTCCCTCAATATGGGCATGTCAAAAAATAATCGAACTTGTATGTACTTTGGCTGCTATGGGGTCCGTAAGTTGGCATGTGACGTCATCATTCCTCATTCGCCCGTGACGTAGGGCGCCCAGGGCGGGGCGCGCGAGTTGCCGCGAATATATTTTTGTTCATTTTTTGCGCACGGTTCCAAATACATTTTATTTGTTTTTACGTGCAAATCCGATGTATAATGAACACGTACACTATATTATGGCAGTAAAACATCCGTACTGTCCTAGGACACTGTGTTATGTGCATGACACTTGTGTACACATATGTTGCACATATTTACCATGTATCATGCTAATTTATGTATATATACAATCTATTTACAGACTATACACTGTCACACACTACATACATTCACCATCAACACATTCAGAACACCGCGAGTGTGAGCAGCCACACCCAGCCAGTCTCCCTCACTCCAACATCTTACTCGCCAACATTGCTCCTCCCACCATACTGTTATTGTTTTTATTACACTATTTACACATGATATATATACCTATCTACATGTTTTATTTACCAGAACTATGCAAGTAAGCCGGTATTGTGTCCAAACAGTACAGTGGCCACCATACACTGCATGAGAAATCACACAGCAGACAGTAGACGACACTATGATTACGACGTCACCTCCCTCACCAAAATAGCTCCCCTCAACATATACACACACACTGTATATACCCATGTACACATGTGTTCCCCATAGCGAACCACGAAGCTAGTATGGTGAGCAAAACAAGAGTGGCTGCCACACAGTGAGGCTACCTCAATTCTCTCCCTTCCTCCCTCCCTCACCAAAATTCCTCCTTCCACAATACTATGCACAACGCTAATTATAACCACAATCCTGGTCACTAATTCCTGTAAATGAATAATTGACCACAAGTTTATTTTGAAAAGGAACCTAAAAAGTCGTTTGAAGATTCCTAGATGGACGAAATAATGCTGTGGTGCTGTGGCTAGCACTGTGAACATCGTGAACAGCATTGAATCACTGATATTTGAACATTGTACCCAGTCATTATCACACTCAGGCTCTTCTATAATACTATCATGGCTAAATAAAAGAGATTATATATATATTTTGACAATATTAGGCGATGCTGTGGTCATACACTGAACAGCAGTGCTGTGTGCTCATGCTGCGAGCGCCAGCCTTGGTTGCTCACTCACTTCTGAGGCTCTGACACCCGGCAATGTGGACCATGATTTTTTTTAAAAGATGGCGTCTGTTTACAAGAGCCCTGAGGAAGCTGATGTGAACCCCCATGTAGCCGCGGGAGTTTTGAATGGAACGTGAAAAATAAAAACACCCGGAGGCGCATTGCGCACCTGAAGCCTGGGCCTGCAGGCGCATTGCGCAGTTAAAGGGTTAAGGATTTGTAGCAAGTATGGTATATTATGTCAGCAATATACTAGCTCCATATTCTCATTAGTTTATGTGCAGATAATGAGATAGGTCTGTCAATTCTACTTAGTCCACTAATTACAATTCATACCTCTTCCCTAATTCATCCTCTAGCCTACTAGAGGATGGTCAGGTGAGGTGTGGACCGATTATATAAGCAATCAATAGTGAATAATCATCATCTAATTTCAAGAGTAGTTCAGTACAGATGCTTGAGAGATAACACACATCTTCAACATTCACCAACAACAATGTAGCACTCGACATGTCCAGTTCCTACAAACACAATACGCTTCAGCTTCGACACAGAGCAGAAGCCAGACTTCAGCCGAATCGTGCTTCCACACTCTCGTCTCCTCTTCCGAGCTCCTCGACTCCACTCTCATTCAGAGCGTCGTGCTCTATACCTCTCACCCCGCATCTGAGGTCTCTAACCCTTGCCTCACTCAGCTCTTTGCCCTGTTCCAGGCTTCGTCTCAACTCCTGCAACACTTCACAACACTGCCAACAAACTGACTGCTGTAACCAAGACTACTAAATAAATATAAAAAAACACTAAACTGTATCTAAAAGAGATACTGTACACGTAAATATATGTGTAAATACACGTAAATAGATATACATACAGGTAAAAGACATAAAGTAAGGGTATAAGCCTCTCTTTGACTGGAGTAGTGCTGTGCCTGTCAGAGTGGGCAATAAGAGTTTTCTATGAAGTCATGATATCAAGAGTAACTAGAAACAGGATTTATTTATTACATTATTGTTTTGCACGCAAATTATCTAATAAAAAACACTATATGATAATGACCAAAATAATAGAGAATACAGTTGCTATTTGCAGCAGTAGAAACTAACCGATACTTGGGCTCATCTGGATGAGTGACAACGTTCCTAAAAATTCGAATTAAAAGCTCTATACATGCTCTTTTTTCCTTTGAACTGAGGTCATCTAGTTGAGCGAGTGCAGCCTTCACATCTGCCATAGTCCTGAAAATATTAAATATTTCAATACTGTATATAACACACAAATATAGGAAAATACAAGGGCCACAAGCTCAAGCCAACTGACTGACAATGAGAGAAAAAAACCAGCGTTGAATGTAATGAAACGCCATTTTCTGGGTGGTATAAGCTCCAGGGAGCCCGGAGGCTCCCTGCAGCTTATCGGGCTAATGAATGTTATATTAGACCGTATTAGACTATCTATAAATCCAACATTATGTTTGTAACTCATCTTCTATGTACATCCTGTATGTACTTTTACTTGAATAAACATTTTGATTTTGATTTTTGATTTTGATTTTAAATATCACCCTTTTTTTTTTTTTTTTGCATTCATGTGTTATTTTCCATAAACGTTCAAATTTGTTAACTCACTTCTCCCTGGTATTAAGTGTTTTACCCTTCACACTTTTAGTTAACTCTTTTGTCTTATGTTGTTTTGCTCAAAATGCTTTGCATAATAGTGGCGCCATTAATATGTGTAACTCCTATCCCTACAATTGTACATTACTCTTATTTTCTTTGTGCACACATTCTTTTGAATAAACATTGATTGATTGATTGATGTACTTTATTTAGTTCAGTATTCACTCTTGTCATTCAGAGTAAGAGGGTTAGGACTGGAGAAAATGACTGTTGTGTCATCAGCAAATAAAATTGCTTAAGTTGTTGAGAGGGATTTGGAAGTTCATTAATGTAGATGAGAAAGAGGAAACGGCCGAGGAGACGGCCAAGTATTCTGCCCTGTGGAACACCAATGTTTATGGGTAGGATGGGAAAATATATGACACAGAGACAATATTATTGCCACTCTCCAGGAAAGCACCCAGAAAGTTGGCAGAGCTATTACAGACAACTGTGAAGTTCACAGAAAATGAAGCATCAAAACAGCCAAACTCCTCCACAAACAATTCAACCTAAACAAACAGTCTGGAGCCAATACACAATGAATCTACAAACTGACAAACCTTATAGAAAGGGAGTCAGGGGAGTCACCTGAACTCCTTACATTCAATACTGGGTTTCTAGGAGGAGTCCCTTGGTGCCTCCATGTCCCAGGAGAATTGTGTAATAACTAGTATTATACGAGGATTCCTTGGTGGCTCCCTGGAAGTAGCCATATGGATAACTCTACACATACGGTATACCTGGCCCTTGCAAGTACAGTAATAATTGCTCTGGCCTACCAGAGACCAGACACAGAATTTTAATATTCAAAGAGGAAAATGGACCTAAGCCAACCCAGGCTGAAAGAATACTAGAAAGGTAGAGCACTCCAAAACATACAATTATGAGGAAAATATTAGCAACCTTGACAACCAAGAATGCAGTAGTTAGGGCATTCCCCCACTTGGTCCACCCCATCACCCAGTAGCAGTCCTGGCAACTCAGGGTCCAGCCAGTGATACTACTATTAATTGTGATTATCTAAGTGTAGTTACAGGGTGAGAGCTATGCTCGTGGTGTCCTGTCTTCCCAGTACTCTTTGTCATATAACACTTTGAAACTACTGATCTTTTTGGCCTTCACCACCTCACTTACTTAACTTATTCCAGCCATCTACCACTCTGTTTTTGAAAGTGGATTTTGTTATACAGGTATTTCTACAGCAGCTTTGTTTAGTTAGCTTAATTCTATGACCTCTTGTTCTTGAAGTTCAAGGTCTCAAGCATTCTTCCTTATCAATTTTGTTGTTTCTCATTATTATTTTGTATGCAGTGATCATATTGCATCTTTTTCTTCTATTAGCTTTGGCATATTTAATGCCTCTAACTTCTCCTGGTAGCTCTTGACTTTCAGTTCTGGAGGCCATTTAGTTGCATGTCTTTGCAACTAAATTGCAAATTTGCATGATTGTGTCATGTGTCTAGTGCAATCTCACATAGAGCTTATGTCAGTACCACCTTCCCTGGTTTGTGATTTTTCTGGCAAAGTATTGGTTATCCTTCAGACTGGCACTAGCCTGTGTGGTTGTTCCAAGTTTGTGTTGCTTCACGTCCAGCATTTTTAACTAAATCACTGTTGTTCGGACTTGGATTGTACCTGGATGGGGTTCTGAGAGTTGTTCTACTCCCCAAAAACTTGGGGAGTAGAAGATCGACTTGTGAGAGCTTGGTCCAACAGGCTGTTGCTTGGAGTGGTCTGCAAGAGTAATTTGATTGATTAGATCTGCATATGCTTACCTGAGGGCCATCTCTTTAGTGGCCTCAACGAGGACAGGAAGCCAGCGGCTTAAGTGTCCCCCCATTTGTCCTGATTATTTTATCAAGGAGGATTTTGAATTTCAGCATTGTTTTGCCATTTACGGCTTTGTCAAGTAGGGAGATCAATGGGTTTATAGCCCAATGGGTGAAGTAGCATCTCCAGTCTTTTGTTCTACATTGCAAGATGCCCTCTCTAAGTGTTCACTGGCATTGGCCCAGCCTGATCCTGGGAAGGTTATGTGTCTGTTCCTTCGAGACCACTTTGTATCGAGGGGCTCTACTTCAAAACATTTCTACTTTGGTTAAGTCACACTCTTGGAATATCAAATACTGTAATATTAATTTCTAGTGTGGTTCCCATGGGATCTGCTACAACCCTCTAGGAAGTGTTTAAGGTCAGGATTAGCATTGCAGTTCAGAGTTTTATATAGAGTAAATAAAGTACACTTGAGAGGATGTGCACTGACTTAATATCTAATACAGTACCCGTATATTCAAAGTTTTAAGTAAGAGGGCCGAGTGCTGTCTGGTGCCAGAGTCTGTTATTGTTCTAATAGCTGATTTGTGTTGATTAATTAGAGGTCATAAATAATTTTTGGTAGTAGAACTCCAGGCACAGATACCATGTGTGATAAAGATAGATGATAAAGTAATAAAGTATTACCATGGCAGGGCAAGGTAAATAATATCTGATTTTAGAAAGAATGCCAACTGTTTTAGAATTTAGTTTACTTATATTATGTATGTGGCACTGGAAATTCTACTTGTTATCAATAAGATCACCAATGAATTTACCAACTACTTTGTTACTAATTTGGATTTGTTAATTTATAATTTGATCACTGGATTTATTACCAAACAAAATATATAAATTTTATCAATGTTAAGGGTGAGTTTACTAGTAATTAGCCAAAAATGGCCTTTATAATTTTAGTTTAGTATTCTCTGTCTCATTCAGAATAAGGGGGTTAGGACTAGAGAAAATGAAGGTTGTGTCATTAGCAAATAAAATTGGCTTGAGCTGTTGAGAGGCATTTGTTAGGTCATTAATGTAGATGAGAAACAGAAGAGGGCTAAGTATACTGCCCTGTGGAACACCAATGTTATTGGGTAGGGTGGGACAATTAGAATCAATGAGTGACATACTGGAGCCTGTCACTGATTAAGATTTTAAGTATTGAAGGGAGTGACCTCTGACTCCATAGTGTTGTAATCTAAGAAGGGAAGGGAACTATCAGGTGAAATAACCAAGCCATTACAACTATATAGCACTTGGAAGGGGTCAGGATAAGGATTTGGGATGGGATGGGGGGGGGGGAGGAATAGTGCCCAACCACCTGGATGGTCAGGGATTGAACGCTGACCTGCATGAAGCAGAGACCGTCACTCTACCATCCAGCCCAAGTGGTTGGATGTAATTTAAAAAGAAAGTTATTGTGGTTAATATGCCCAAAATGAAGATCCATATAAGACAACCTAGACCTGACTAGACCCTAGACTTGACTTAAAACTTCACTCAATCTAGACTTCAAACAAATTACAGTAATTAAGGCCTCATTATCATCCTCACTAAACAAAGATTAATCCCCCCTGCATTCGTACTAACAGCAAAACCCCAAGCTCAAAGTTTTGTGTAAATAAAAATTTGTGGCTCATTTTAACTACTAATATCTTGTTAAATACACACAATTACATTAAAATATTTGTGTAATGTGTTGGTTTGCATTACTTTCAATGAGAAGAGTTGATCTCATACCAAACCTTTAAGCAAAAATAAATTGGTGTAAGCCAATACTATTGTGATTTTTTTATCTTTTTACATTACATGCAAAACATGATTTTCCTGATAATTTTGCGTATGTTAATACAATCAATGATTAAATGCAATAGGTAAAAATAAAAATATAGTATAATTGCTGTAAATTTTATTTATGGACATTCTGAAAGTCAGTTTTAAATGAAAAAAATTAATTTTAGTGCTAAAAACATAACATACATATCAACACCAAATTTGTTGTAATACTGTATTGGATATTCCCCATTAATTCATAAAATTAGCACAAGATAGCACTGACTGACAATGTTTAATTAAAAAAAATTGATATAGACACTCAAATTGAAAATATTGTATATACTGTACTGTATTATAAATATAAAAATTAACCATTCCTTACTTCACTTGACAAATAAATTGTATATTATGAAAGGTACTCTCTCTCTCTCTACTGCCATTCAGTCATGAGAGCATCCCAGTCTCGATTACTGATGAACGGAGTGTCAATGTTAGCAACAACACTGTCACCACAGTAGAGGCATTCCCCTGCCACTAAGCTGTCTATTTCTGACCTAATTTGCTCCCTATCACTCCATAATCCTGTTGCTCCTGTTCCACTTTCATCATTTGATATTGCTAATAGTTTACCCTTCAACTCTGAAACTTTCTTTTGCTTTACTTCACTTAAATACCCCATGACTGAATCTGACAAACAATCCTGATGGAACTTATGAGCACATGGAAACAAATAAAATGGTCTTGTTAACAGAGGATAGTTGCATTCACAGCAACGATCCTGAGCATGAACATAGGAAAATTTTTGCTTGAACTTCTGAATATCTTTGCGAATGTTTTCTGCTGCTTTAGATGCATCATCCATTTCCTGTTTAAGATCCTCAATGTGTTGGTTATATTCCTGAAGTGAAGAACATATTGCATCTTTAAACTGGTCAATTGTTACAAAGTCTGGGAAAAAAGGAAGTATGTCTTCTATTTTAATTAGATCGCACTCCTTCAAAACCTCCATGGCACGTGATACATTTTGCTCTTCCTGAACCACATGTGCTGCAATCATTAACCAAAGCTTTTTCCTCAAATCTTGATCATATTTGGGCCGATTTGCAGTTGCCTTGGCTAAAGATGAATCTAGCCTCAGTGCTAATTCTACTGCTTCCTGATAAAGCCCCATGGTGGTGAGGATGTGAACACATGCTTTATCTTCCCCAATAGACATACATTCCCTAAGAGCAAATTTTACATCATAATGGACACTTTGACTATCATCTCCCTGCAATTTAAAGTAGGGTAATAATTTCTCTGGTGCTTCGGTAGCATAAAGAGTTATCAAGAAATTATGCAGCACTTCATCAGTAACTTCTAACTTGTCCACACAGTATTCTAAATAGCGAAGAATATCTGATCCACTGCCATGTGAAGTATGACAATGAACAAGGCTAGGAAGCAGCTTGATAGGATTTATTCTTCTACCCTGTGAAATCAAAGTGTCTACTGCAGCTCCAGGTACTACTTGCATAAGTGCAGGGAAATGTTGATAAAATAATTGTTCAGACCCTCTGGTGGATATTACCTCCAGGGCTTCAATGTAGCGTCCATGGCGCATAAGATGACGCAGCACACGATCATAGTCCTTAAGCATCAGAGAAACATTTACATAATTATCTTGATCATCGTGTGAAGAGAGCAACTCGTATATTGCTGTAGCACTGTTTGTTACACACTGGCGCACTTTTGGGTCACGAAGAAGGGTTTTCAGTTGTTCATTGTAGTTATTATACTGTTGGGTGTTCTGTTTCCCTGCATCCCGCAAGTTCCCCAGCTGCTTGAGGTACAACTCCATTAACCACATCACAACCAAGGTAATTTGAGTTTGCTCACTGACCTTCAAGGCATCCAACTTTTCATGCAAATAAATTTTTAGAGCCTCTTCCTCCTCCACTTCAACAAACTTTAAACTTACTTCTTCAAAAGAAGTTAATGTTTTAGCAAAGAGCATAGCACTCTGGAGGTAATCTTCCTTTTGAAAGAGGTCTTGAGCCTCTTGCAACAACACAATGGACAGACATGAAGGATCTGAATTACAATGTTTCTTTGCCAATTCATAGTTTCCTTGGTCAAGATATATTCTCCACACATTCCGCCCTTCCCGATCAACCTTATACTTGAAAACACCTCTCTCTGCATAAACCCAAATAGTTCCTTTCACTACATCTTTTGATATTCCAATCAACTTTCCACACTCTTCAGGAACTGTACCTTCAAACACAACTTGATTATTAAGAATACACAATCCACGTATCTTATCAGGCCACACAATAAGAACATGGAATTCACAAACAATCATACCACAGGGAATGCCACTACTTTCAATGCCCTCGGGGTTCGTGTGGAGCTTTTTATTAACAGTCATATCATCAGGTGTTCCACCCCACACAATGTCACCAGTATATACTCCTTGCTCAGAAAGCCAGGCAAAATGATTAGGAACTGAAGAATTTGGAGGGTGATAGAGCTGAAGCCAAGACATTTTCCACTTGCTAGGCAATTCAACAAATCTTGGGGGCAATCCCAAATAGTTACTGAAAATTGACACACACATTGGCCTTTCATCCAAAGACTTGACACGTCCAGAAAACTGATACAGCTTATCAGGAGTAGTACACAATACCAGATACTTGAACTCATCTGATGGACTGCTGCGAAATTCTAGTGCCGTCACTGTAACAGGTGCATCTTTCCCAATGTCAAACAGTTGTTTGCAATAGTCTTCATGGCTCGACTGGAATAGTCTTTCGTCAGAAGTCAATTCCATTTCTAAAATGACTCCTCTTCCTGTTCCGACCAAAATTGGAGCCGTTACGTTGTCCGATTGGTTTTTCTGATTCCACCCTACAGCTGTCACAAGATAACCTTTCAACTTGCTGGTAGACTTTGGTTTGTTAGCACGTTGAGGAAGGTAGAGTGTGTCTACTGGTGTCGTCCCATCCCGACT